CCCGTACGCCGCCATCCAGCCGCTCCGCTGCGGGACGGGCCTGCGCCGGAGCTGATCGCCTTGTGCGAGTGACCACACAATAATGAATTGTGATAATGTGTATAACAACTGTATCAAACCAGTGTTCGTGCAAAAAGTTCTGGAACTGTCTAACGAGAGAATATGAAGTAAATTTAAATAAATGAAACACTATTCGAGAGAAAAAGAAATACAGTCCTTAATATACAAGTAATATTTTGACTTAATCTTTATGCAGAAACTTCTGCCTATGACTAACAAATTAATCACAGTAATTACTACCAACTAATGTCAAGCACTTATTCTGTAGAAGTACTTTTATAAAATCATCGTTTAAAAATCTGTGTCTTGGTTACAAAGATTAAAGGAGAATTAAAACAGTTGTACAAAATATATTATCAATTTCATTTTAAAAAAACCATTACGATAATAGATTAACTACATCCTTGCCAAAAGTGAAAATAATTGAACAACAAAGGGAATGAAGACAGGAAGCCAGGGAAGGTTTTTAGGTATTTAAATAATTCATCACCCTGAAAGAGGCAAAGTATTACCTCTGAGAAACAGTGAGCAACCATCAAATGCCACAAGAAAAGTGACAGTGAATTGCTCTCTGCTGGACTCAGTCCACTCTGTCAGTCTTCTTTGTACTGTGAGCCCCAAACTGGACACAGTAATTTAGATATGGCCTCATAAGTGCCAAATAGAAGGAAATAATCACTCCCCTAAGCTCTAATTCTTTGCCGTCATTAACAACAGTAGTTACAGGTCTAATTTCTGTGATGAATCTGGTTATTGGGACACACTGTGAAATGATCTATAAAATGGGGAATAATACTAAGCTGTAAGTTGAGGATTACTGGGCACAAAATGATCTGTCAGAGCTATAGAAGTTAGCCGAGCAAGAAATTTTTCATTTTACACTATATTCTTCCCCCTTCCAAAAATTCAACATCTGTAGGGGAAATAAATTTAGTCTTGTCAGTCTGTAGCTTGAATCACTGATAGATTTTTTAAACTCATGAATATACAGTCCACCTGTAATTCTTCCCATTGGAAAAATGTAACCTGGGGTGTGACAAAACAGATACAAATGGATTCAGGACTCCCCAGCCTAACTTGAAATTAATCAGTACTTATAGACACATCAATAGAACAGAATCATTTTGGAGACCTGGTGGCAATTGCAGTAATATTCAGCAGCAACAGGAATTGTTCAGAGACCTGACAATTAAAAAGCAATCACTCAAGAAGTGGAGACAGCACAGGAGCGAATTACCTTGGGAAGAGATGAAATCTCCTTCAGTAAGTAGTTTGGAATAGTCTAAATAAGTACCTCCAGGTAAACTATTTCTCCTTCAGAGCAAAAGGTTGGCTTAGATGATCCCCGAAGTCCTGTCCAGGCCAATGCTTTTGTGATGCCATGGATGAGAGGAAAAAGAAATTCCCATTATTCATCTTGTAAACATGCCTAAGATAGACATTTAGTCAAACCTCTCTTCAAAGGCATTAAAGCACCAAAATTCAACTGAAACCTCTTTCAAGATCAGGTTCATAGTATTTGCGAGTCATTGGCTGGGAGCTGGAGCTATACGGTGCACATACTGCTGCAGTACCTGGAATATCCATGTGTGTAAGAAAAGGAAGCCCCTGCTATGAACACCTAGTATTAGCTGACCACAGAGTTAATCTGTTTTGTATCAATCTTCCTAAAGTCGCATATTTCAAATCATACAACTTTCCTTTCTCAGTGCCCTTTGCTTTGCTTACTTAAAATAGCTGCCAGTCACCACCCACACCCTCAAATGAACCAGAGCCTGTACACAGGCTGGGAAAAGAAATGTTTTCAGCTGCTAGGATCCAGAAAACTTTATCCATTTAAAGGAGAGTATTACATAGGGACACCAAATCATAAACGCTATTGATCGAACAAATTTTCCTAAACCAGACATGCAAGAGGACTGTCAGCGAGGCAAATGCAGTAATACTACTACTTTGGATTTATATCACGTTTTTCATCCTATGTTTTCATTCCCTCTACTTCATAGACAGACAAACTGAGGACAGGAATCGCAATTCAAGTTCATACCACGCAGTACAAGGTTGCTAACAGAACCAATGTGTTTAGTGCCAAAACCTAATAAACTCCTCCGTAGCCACCAAAGAGAAAGAGGCACCCCTAGAAAGTAAGCCAGACCATAGGTAGACTAACTTGTCCTCCGGAGGTGGTTTTTTCCTCTTAATCAAACAGGTAACTAGGTAAGTGCCAAAATGAGCTAGAATGCCCTAAGTCAATGATTTCTACAAAGACTGTGCACTGAAGTGTGCCTCCACTCTCCTGATTCCTGTAATTCCCAATATGATATCCCTTGCAAAATCAACAGTGCAGAGCTGACATCCAACTGAGGCAGCTTTACTTGAAACCGGGAGCAGTGGTCAAGCCATCAGAAACCTATTGAGTGTTGGTAAAGTAGCATCTCCAAAGCATCCTACAACTAAATAGATCCCTCTTCAAAATAAACATCACACTTCACAGAAAAATTCATTTGTAACAATTCTGAATTCTGAAAAAAAAAAAAATAGCTGAGACACCAAATTCTAAAGCAGATGAACCCTTCTTTTAGTCCTTGCACTCAGGCTTTCTTCTCCCAAGCAATTTCAAAGATGGTTTCAATTACACTTAGCACAAAAAATATGTCTGTGTATAAGACACTGAAAGCTCCTAATAAGCCTTTGTGATCTAATGGGTGAGCAACATGTTTACAAAGCTGCACATGGAAGAAAGGAATTTCTATAATTAAGGTCTGATAGGCATGTAATCATTTGATCAATTAGGGATAGCTTTACCTCCTGTTTTTTGATAAATAGAAAGCTCTTTGATGCATGCTGTGGGTTTTCTAAAGAGCTTTGCCAAAACAGGAAAACATTATGTATTTCGTGGTCCCATGAAGGCTGGAATCCAAACAAAAAAGCAATTAAATAGCAAAAAAATGGGGTCTAAAAATGTAAAGTGCTCAACAAACTATGTAAGGCTACTCCTGCCCCATCAGAAAGCAAATGCTAACAATTGTAGGGAAGGCATCACATAACATGGTGGCATGACTCATACCAACAGAAAGAATACTTTTACTGTGTTTTCAGGCATGATATACTTGTAATGCTGTTAGGATCTGGTTTACTCTGCTGGAGTAGGGACTGGTCCAGGCATGCAATATTTAGATAAAAAGAGAGATAAAAAGGTTATGCCAAAAAAATAGTCAAACTCCAAAGAATGCAGGAACCACACTGGAATTTATGATGTTTTCTCATTTACTCTGATGGTTTTGAGGTTAAACAACAGATTTCAGCTACTTAAAACAAAGCAGGAGCAACACTTTGTAAGATGCTGGATTTAAAGGTCTGGGCAAGTCAACACCTTCGCGAATTTGTAGGAACGGGAGACGTTAAAACCAAACCTAATCACCTGGCAGGAGCAGCATCCTCATCCCGTGATGTACCTCACCTCAGTAATTTTTGCTCAGGTCAAACCAGCAGCTTTTATGCTGTAGTTAAGCAGTGACATCTCGAAAGCAGAGGAGGTTGGGGGGTCATAAAACGCGTTAAATTCAACGGTAAGTGATGGTGCTGCGGCGGCAATCTGTTCCTGGAGGACGAAGGAGCAGTACGAGGACGGCGGTGCCGAGGCGCCGGCTCCCCTCCCTCTCGCAGCCCTCCCGCACCCGCCGTGCCGAGGAAAGCCTAGAAAAACGGGGGTTAAAGGGCAGGCAAAGGGTGAAGAGGGCTTAACGGGCACCAGAAGGGCTAAAATTCAAAGCAAAAACTCCACAGAGCGTTTCAAAAAAGGCGCCGGGGTGGAGGAGCTGGATTTTCCTCAGCGGAGCAGGCGGAGCTCCTCTCAGCGAGGGCTGCCGCGGTCCCCTCGAGGAAGGAGAGGGGAAAGGGGGATTACTGAGGGAACGAGGTGCTGCCGCGACAGGGAGAAACCGACATAACTCGCCGGCAGCCGCCGAGCAGCCTCCTCAGGAACTGGGGGGAAACAGGTCCTTTTCTGGCGGCCAGCGGGACGCGCCGGCCCCCGCGGTCAGTGCCGGGAAGAGCTACGGCGGGGGCGGGGCCAGCGCGCCCTC